TAAAACATGAAAAAAATAGTCGAAATGTGAAATTAAAACCGACAGTAGGTGTCAGCAAGTGACTGTTAATGAGTGAGTCATTGAGATTCAACCGATTCATTCAAACGACTGATTCATTCAGAAACAAAGCATTTGACTGTGGTAATGAGTGAATCACTAAATCATTTTTATCAACCGATTCGTGTTTTAATAGACTAATAAATCAACGTACGTGCACTCTGTGTGTGATTTGGTGATACAGCCTACTTGATCATGTCAGATCACACATCATTACAACAACACTTACCACATTATCGCAGACGATGCTGTATCGCACAGCACACCCCAGACTCGACTTCAGTGGAAAATGAATCATCCATGGTTGTGCGTGCACTTGTTTGCACGTGAGCAAAGGTGTTTTAGGAGTCTAACTTGCAGATGCCAGACCACTGATTCGTCAAACCTGCTTTCCTGCAGTAAAAGTAAAAGTTGGCTGAAATATAAAAACTCAAGTAAAGTACAGATACTCCCAAAAAAATACTTAAGTACTGTAACAAAGTATTATTACTTCGTTACATTACACTACTGCCTATAATAATGAATGAATGAATGAATTAAATACTAACACTTTACAATAAGGTTGGGTGTCTGTTGCTAAGCATCTAGCTGTAACATTTTAACATTTTTCACACTGTACACTGAATTATTGCCCTTCAAAGCAGGGTCTTATGACCCCAGGTAAAAACCAAGCATCTACATTTACAAGTGTGAAACTTTTCGGTTAAAATTCATAATATTTGATGTTACATGAAGTTTACTTAACTAGCAATGCCCTACATCAGGTTGTAGGACATCTTGGTTTGACAGAGATGACCCTGATGATCCAGGAGATAGTGAGATCCTGACAGATATTCAGATAATAATCCCACCAAAGGTCTGCAGTCTGCCCATTGCTATTGAGGTCACAACCATTAGTGGGAGCCCTGCACTGCTGACTGGAAACCTTTTTCAACTGTAAGGCTAAAAATATTATGAACAAATAAAATAATTTCATATGTAATTTTGTAATGATTAAAAGTCATCTGCTCTGATTCTGCAGATTTGATCCACTTCTGGGCTTCAAATGCGTGAATGAACAGCAGGGTGGAGGGGTCTGTCAGGACTACAAGGTCTGCTACACATGTCCGAAAAGTTTCTGCAAGATCCAAGTTCTTTCAAACCTCACAATTGAGGCCGCAAACATTCTAGACAAATATTAAGCTCTTGTGAAACTACGTTTTCAGTTTAAGTTTAGATGTTATGTTAAATACATTAAACATTTGCATTATCCTTCCCTGTCTCAGCTTTTGTTGTTGTGAGTCAAGTTGTGTTGTGAAATACTTTGTAAGAACACTGGCGGAAACTATTAAGGCTCTGTTATGATGATCCCTGCATATCATCAAACTTGTGCATACTACTATACTTGTTCATTTATAATGTCTAACATTTAAATATATAGTTTTTTTTTTTACATTTAAATATAGTACATGTCAACTATGCTGCTATTTCGTCACAAATAAGAGCATTATAAGCGTCATGACACACCAACAAAAAAGACACTTTACAATTCACTAGGCAAAGAGAAAACTAGTTCTAGAAATTATAGAACAAAGTTTGTAGTAAGGTAAATAGGTCTTGTTAAAACATAATGAAACAATTTTTTACATTTAACCCAAACATACTGTGCAGGTAACTCAGTATAACTTTAACTTATTTTATTGTCTGGAGAATATAGCATAGCATACGGTGATAATAATTAAAATATTAATAATGATATATAATAATACAAATTTTATATGTGAATTTGACTTATGTTCACATGTTAATAGTGTTCCTGTACACACATATGAGAATCTGAAAGTGTCCAGCTTTTTTCCAACTCCTCTGTTCTGCATCCTCCTATTCTCGCCGATGGACAAGGCTAGATACAGATGACGCTGAACAGCCCCATCGTGCTGTGGTGTATTTAAAAAAAACAAAATTTTTTTTTTTATTGTGACGTGCTTAGAGAAAGAACTAGAACTGTTCGACGTCATTTCCGGTGGAATATTCCAGCGAATCCTGCTATGCCTTTACAGAGAGACGCGCTGAAAATACGCTGGATTCTGGAAAGCGTTGTCTGTGACAGTCAGGTGCAGTCTGTAATATAAATGTAATCTTCGTCCATTTAAAGTCATAACTGTTTTCACTGAATGTGAATTATAAATACTGTGTCGTCGAAGTTTACCACCAAAATACTTTATTTGTCTGCGTTAATTTTGAGTCGCATCCTTCTGTGCTTGACCTTGAAGGTAAGTTTGTTCTCAGAGCGTGACATATCAGGTTTAAAAAACAAAACATTTTGATATATGAGACTATATGATGGGCTTTATATTCTTGTTCATGTACGCAACGTAACACTATTGTTATATTGAAAGGCTCTTGCTCAGTAACGTTAATACCCTTAATTTAACTACGTAATGGAATAATGCTTGATATTATAAGGGGCACAATAAGAAGCACTCTATTTTCATTCAGTGTTTCTATAATAAAGCGCAGAAAAGATTCAGACGCGCATTTTTAATGCTGTACGATACGATAGGTGAGCGCAGAAACCATGACCTGCAACTTGATATAACGTTACATGACAGTCTCATCAGACTGACTGATGTTGAGTAACTTACACAGTTGTTTATGTAAACTAATAAAACCGAGGTTGCGCAGGAATTACGCATACGCAGCCTTTTCAACATTTCAAGAATTAGCCTACCGAAGATATGATTGTTTTTAGTCATAAAATGCCAGTTTCACCATACATACGGGCTAACCTTAATAATAACGCATCAATTCCTGTGAATTGGCTAGTGTAGTTATAACAACTTGTGAGAAAAACGGTTTTTCCTCTTAAGTGCGTCAGAGATGGTCTTCGACTCCGTGCCTAAGAGCCTTATGTAAGAGACAGGTGGTCCAGAGGCAAGAGTCAATGTGAATGGATCTCATCCCGCCTTCACATATCACTCCTGTAGTATTATAGGAGGAGTTTTTGTCTTTAATTCATTTGATAGCCTGTTATTGACTAAACAGAGCTCTAATTACCCTTTATTTAAAAAAAGGCACTGTTATGATTTAACCTTTTAACGTTGTGGGAAGGTCTTAAGCAACTCTTGACTTAAGACAACAAGTCTACTAATGTGATTGAAAACCTGTGATGAACGTTCTAAAATGTGATTAGGCCTATATAATAATTAATAGAAGTAAAAGGTCCAGTTCCAACTTTAAGGCAGGATGACACGGGTGAATAGGGTGATTTTTTAAAAATCTAATAGATACCACCACATTTACAGTCAACCAAAATTTATTCAGACACCTTCAACATTTCACACATTATCACATGCGCTTTAGTTTAGAAAACGGTAATAAAATATGACAAGATCTCAGAGTTAAACTGTGTCAGAACATATTCCTCTTGATAATGTCAGATAACACTTAAGCAAAACATGGTCAGGTCAAAGAGTCTGAATAATTTTTGGTCCCAAATTTTTATCAATTTTACTGGTAGTCCACTGTATGAAGAATTTTTGGGTATAATATGTCACAGTTTACTTTATTTTGCTATCCTCACTTTGCACCCACTAGTAAAAAAAAAAAAATCAAAAATTATATCTGGCGTCTGAATAAATTTAGGTTTGGCTGTACATCCCTATTTGATTAATCACAGTACTTTAAAACTATTTATTATTATTATTATTATTATTATTATTATTATTGTGAAATGTTGTGTTTGGATATGCAAATAAGGCATTATCAAGTTTCAAAATTTTAGTTTCATTTTGCTGGCATATTAAAAATTTTTACAAAGAGGATTTTGGATATCTCTTTTTATCATATAAATCAGAAAAGAAAAGGGGAAAAAGTCAATGTTTTTCTAAATAAAATATTACATAATGATATAATAACAAACTTCTTTGTAAAAACCTATAAACCTATATAAATAGAAATAAACCTGGAAAGTTTGGTGTATGTAAGTGCTACTGAAGTGGATATTTCTGGCTCAGTGCATCAGAAAGAAATTAATTTTCAATAAATGGCCAAAAGATATGTATTGTAATTGAAATCTACTGATGCACATAGATAAAGTGTAATAGGGTAAAAAACACTTGAATGTGTATTTTGGATGTTTTCTTTAGACTAGTCTGAAAGAAGAATAAAAGTAAAACAGCTCCAGTCCATTTCAAAATGAAAAACAATGGTTGTAGTGTTTTGCCTTAAGTTGTAAGGTAGGTCTTTAAGACTAGGCCGTACACTTTGGCACTAAAACAAAAAAGCACCATGTTATTACTGTGGTGTGAGAGGCAGTGCTTGAAAGCACAGATTACACCCTGTTATGTGCTGTACATGATATTATGTTGTTTTTATCTTCATTTGGTAAAGCTGACTTTCTTATTTGATTTAGTTTCAGCGCTGGTTGACGTGGAGAAATCTGTTGACCATCATGATCCTCCTGACTCCCACATCTGGTACGCAAATTAATACTATATGCAAAGCAGTGGCACATGCCATTTCTGCTTCCCACAATAAAGAAAATGGCTGTTTATGTTTAGGATTGTTTCAATGAGTGCCACTAACTGTGTTCTTACATTCAACAATCTTTGGTAAGGTTTGGGATGGTTGGCACAAGATTGAAACTATGTGAAGCTGTAGAAAAACAAACAAGTGTGGAGTTCCTCATATGCGGAGTGCAGACCTACAACTTTAGAGGCTCGGTTGCACTTTAACTTAGTGTATTGAGCTGGATTTAAGCCCATTTTTGACTGTTTATCCATCACCAAATAAACAACTAAGAGGTTGATGAAATACATTTACATGCAAACTTATGACAAAGCAGTTTTTATAGATAACCGAATAGTTGTTTCGTAGCAATTGGCTTGTATATCTGTTAACTGGAACGTATGGGCCCTAGTTTTTATGACTATGGTGGTGTTTGTCCCATAGTTTCTTAGACTAGCTGCCAAATAAGTTCTTGGTTTTAACTGTTACCAGGTTACACTGAGGTTCAGTTACACAACTTAAGTTATGCCTTTCTATATGTACAGTATTATACAGTGTTGTAGAAACAGATAAATGTTAATCCTGTCAACCCTGGCTTCTGTCACATGGAGCAGAGGAACTAGACATGCACAAAGACCTGCGTTAATGGCTTCTTGGGGTCTTTAGGCGAAATATAGCCTAGTTGCAATGCTCTTTGATGTTCCTGTTAGTTGTTAAGATTACACTCCCACAACAAAGGAAGTCCTTCCCTTTCATCACCTCATCCTTCATTATACTTTGGACTAAGTTCTAGTTCTTTCTCTAGTAGGGCTGGGCATAATGGCCAAAAAAATTATCACGATAAAATTTTTCATATCAGTCGATATCGATAATTATCACGATAAATTTCAAATCTTTATTTCTTTTAAGTTTAAAGGCAAAATTCTGCTCCATAAGGGAAAGTTTTAGAAACCAGACCGTTAATTGTGGTTTTAAACTCTTTATGGTCAGAACATGATAAACACTTCACGTTTTTGAATTCTTTACACTTTTCCAGTAATTTTTTCTTAACAAAATAAATATCTTAATAGAAAAATTAATTTCTTAGTTTCTGCATGTTCTAATGAGTGATATGGTTTCAAATTATGAAAAAGGTTTGTGTAGCCTGACTTTGATGATGCATATCATAAGCACAGTTTGCAGTGCAGTCTGCAAAAACAATAATAATAATACATTTTTTGTCTCTTAGAAATGCACATTTGACAGTAGCTTGAGTTGACAGTAGTAGTAGCTTGAGTTAGGATGCAGATGTATTATTCTGACTAGGGGTGTGCCCGAATTCGAATACCTTATTTGGAAAGCACGGATAATGGCTTCAAAATGAATAAAGGATAACAAATAATTCTGCTGAATAATATTCGCCTGAGGCTGGAACAGTCACTCCTGGTGTTTGCTGGATAACAGGTGAGCCAGGGGATCAGTGCGATATTATACATAAACCTCTAAAGTTACTACGCAATAATGAGTGTGTGAAGTGAAAGAATGTAAACTTTATGAATGAAATGAGCTCAAATCAAACAACTGCATTGCTGTTGCATCTCCGTGCATCTCTCAGAAATCAGAGCTTGGCAAAAGTAATATCCATAGATATGTATAGGTAGATTCCTTATTCGACCGCTCCAAGCACATGGACGCGTCCGCCATCTTGGAACGGTCTATATGTCATCACTCACAATAAAAATCAATGAGTTTCAAGAAGATGCAACAACATTGTGCAGCCTAAATTTAAATTCCTGAAGAAACTGGATAAACGTTCACGGGTAAAAATGTGTTGGTTTGTGTTTTTAAAATGTATTAACTCAATATGACAGGTTTTCAAACTAAAGTAGGCCTACCTTTTAAATGCCTTGTTAGCTAACAGCTTCCTCTTGTTGTATTGTGTTAGTTTAGCAAAAGCATTTCTGAAGTCTACTGAAGATATATATTATTCATATATGCGTATAACTACAGTTGTAGTGCAGATGCACCAGCAACTTGCTCTCGAGTATTCACGGACTGCCTTTGACATTCCAATATGGTGGACAGCTTACGTATAGCGGCCCATAACAGTTGCTAATGAGGAATCTACCTATACATACAGTATCTATGGTAATATCAACTAAAATACTACATCATATACATTCTGCTATTTGTGTATATTTAAATGTCAATGATTTAAACCTTGTACGATATGATACACGAATAAATGGAATAAGCACAGCCGCGTTGCCATCTCTCAAAAACCAAACCAGCTCTCTATCAAGAATAGGCTATCAACAACTTAGATACATATACATTTTCTACTAGGCCTACACGTTTTCTTCTTTCTTTTACTGGTTTGCGTGGCACACACACATTTGTTTAGTGAAGTTCAAAAAAAGACTCCTTAAAGAGTTCTGCGTAATGAAAATGCGCCTTGAATTAATTCAGTCGTGTTCAAATAATCACAAAACGTTTGTCATAAAATCTCTCTGCTTGTATGATAAATTTATTTTTAGAAATTATTAATTTTATATTTTAGAACACTGCATAGGGCAAATAGTCGAAACACAGATATTTTTCCATACTCTGTTCCATACTTTGCGCAGGAACCGGTGAGCCAATGGAAAGTATGATCATTTACATAAACCTCTAAAATTACTACGCAATAACTAGTGTATGAAGTAAATTAGTGTAAACTCTATGAATGAAAAAAGTGCAAATAAAATAGCAGTGTTGCAGTTGCCTTTTTCCATGCATTTCCTAGAAATTACTTAAATCAATTTCCATTTACAAACTGTGTAGGAACCCTTACTGTTTTAATTTGAAGATATTTAAATATTTATTTATCGGACCATGAAAGGTCCCCAAGCTGGGATTCGAACTCACGTTGCCGAAGTACAACTGCAATACATCTCGAAGCACTGCCTATAAAGGGTATCAGCTCCGATTGTTCGAAGATATGAAAATAAATGTTATAATCATTTAAAAAAATTTATTTGAGTTAAACATGCATATTTGTTCAGTGATAACTATAAAAAAAAGATAGGCTGTAAAACCATAGACATAATGATCTTCTCAAGTAACTGTACGAACGTCCGGATCAAGCCCCACCCACTACCGGTTTTATCCGAATCCAGATACAGATATGAATAATTTTGTGATTGTTAAAGATACAGTTACAGATACAAATACTGGCTCCGCTGCACACCCCTAATTCTGACTGTTTGAGTTTTATTAAAATTAACCACTGGTCTTCCATAGTAGCATACATTTAGATCATAACCACCGTTAAAACCACACATACAGCACCTCAACACCATGGTAAAAATGTAACTTTGTACCTATGGTTCTCTAGGTATTTGTATGAAAACAGTAGTCTAAATACATTTAGTATAAATGCACAAACACTATAGCTTAACAAACAAATACTGTAATTATATTCCATTACTACTTTAATACATTTAATTAATGTCTACATTAATTATATAATAAAATTCTATATGAATATCCCACATTTCTGCCACAATACCATGGTGCAGTTACTACAGTAAAAGCCATGGTAAATGATGGCGATTTGTAGATTGAAAAGCTTTCTGACCTGACTGTATCATTGCGCACAGTGTTTCTGCTGTTTGTTAGCGCCGTTTCATCTGGCTTTAAACTAAATCACCAAGTTATTTGTTTTCTTCGCTGAATTCAAGCACTTCACACGGGATCTCACAGCGCTGTTTAGTGCTCGCATGACCAAGGCTTATCAGCGAGTAAACGCATCTGCTCTAGTGAGCTCATGCTGCGCTGCCATTTGAACTTTGAGCCGAGCGGATAAATGCTCCATGTGTTGCGCAGCTCAAATGAGTAGCACTGTTTCGTTCCGCTTATGGCGCATAAACATTATATCGAACATTTATCGAACTCTTGTTATCGTTTTATCGAGGAAAATTATATCGCGATAATTATCATTATCGTTTTATTGCCCAGCCCTATTCTCTAGGTAATATGTAGTTTGAGGTTTACTACTATCTAGTGTTATCTAAAGCCAAGTTCACACTACACGACTTTAAACGTTGACAGATCACTGTGCTGTTCAGACTACATGACTTGCTGTCTGTCTTGAAGTCGTTGTGGTGTTCACACTACATGACACTACATAAATGATCCGCAACAGGGGTCACACACACTACACGAGCTGACAACAACTCTGTCACCCAATGACTCTATCCACTCCCCAAACCACGTTTTGTCATGAAAACACACGTGAGAAGTTGAACGGGAATGACGCGTTTATTTGAAAATGGACGTCGGGAAGAGATTAGTGCTGCAAGCTGTTTGCGTGATGATTTGTTCTAAAAAAATTCGCTCCATTTCTTGTATCCAAACTCTTCTCAAAGCCATGTTGCTGCTGCTGTTTTTCTTTCGCTGACCTCAACCTTGTGATGGCCACTTTTGAAACACTGCTTCATGAAGCTTCGAAACCTTTGCAAATCAATTGTTTCGAAACAGTGGTTCGGAGCGCGTATCAAAATGCAGTAAACGAGGCTTCGTTACGTCATAACTGTTTCGAAATGTTTCGAAATTTCAATTTCAATGATTTCAAAATTATCGCCTTAGGGGGGCGATCTCTGTAAACCCGTGAATCATGCGAGTTCACTGAGATCGCCCCGCAGCGGCGAACCACTGCATCAGCGTCTATGGTTATACGATCTCGGATCAGTTTGATCAATTTGTAGACATTTTTAATGAGACATTTGTGTAATTAAAAGGATGTGTAGTAGTTAATAGTCTCTTACTGGCCTGTTTAGACAAGCTCTCCATAAAACAAACAAAACAAGCCCTTGCAAATTAATAATAATTATTTTAAAGACGCATAGGCCTATTATACAGACACTTAATTTTTAATAGTATTTTGTTATTTATTATAGTTTCAAAAAAGCGTTTTCATTGGGTTTGTAAAAGTTGTTTTTGTTGCATT